ACGTTCAAACAAATCAGAAAATGTTTACAGATGAGTGTGTGTGTGTGTGTGTGTGTGTGTGTGTGTGTGAGTGTGTGTGTGTGCGTGCGTGCGTCCGGTCGTCCGTGCGTGTGCGTGCGTGTCTGTGTGTGCGTACGTGCTCGCGTCCGCGCGCGTGTGTTGCTTACAATCGTACTAGACCGTGAAAATGTATAAACAAAGACTTTAGAAAACAATAATACCAAATTATTTCATCATCAAACATTTCCAGTAGACGTTAGCGGTATTATGCTATAGATATTAAATATAACAGAAAATAAATGTACAAACGCTAATGCTAAATTAAATGCTAAACTCTATGACAAGAACACATCGTATTCCATCAATGAACTCCATCATTTCATGCTACTGGCATTCCTTGAATCAATCAACGCCGAACAGACGATTACAATGTATGTTTCTGCGTGTTTGATGCAATAGCCTATAGTTTAACATATTTTACTACAACTGAGAACAAAGTCTGCTACTCGTTTGGTAAACACGGTCAACTTAAATTACACCGAGGGTTAATTTACACCGACGAATTAAGCAGAGCCTTTCAAAACTGCCTTTGAGAAATCGGCGCACGAATAATCAAACTACAGCACTATAACCATACAAGAAGGTGCACACCACAAGGGTTCATGACATCAAAGCTGTGCCACGATGGAGGTAGTTGCTAGAGGGAATACACTCTTGCGTGGTTCATCGAACGAAGCAATTAACAGCATGAGAAGCAAAAAACCGTCTTTGCCAAAAAGAACAAAGACTTTCGGATATTTCTAATAGGTGTCCATTCACAAAGGCGTCACAATGGGTGGCGACGAACCATTTCACATACAAAAACAAAGGTTACACAATTAATTGGAAAACCTATCTATCGAGTAATAGGGAAAAATAGATTTATGTATTTATTTTTACATGTACCTGTGTATACTACGACTACCTAGTTAACAGGACAATTATCATTATTTAACATTGCTATCACACAATAAGTTCAAAATACTATTACATATGTCATTTTCCATTTTAATTGCAAAAAAGCCCAAATTTGTATGAGATCGTATAACCACTACATAATGTAAGCTATATTCACTCGCCATATATTACCATCTAGAATAAAATACGAGAGAGTATGAAAATGTAATAAATAAGCGGTAAATATCATCTGTAAATCTCCTGATACGTATATATAGATCTTATATGTAATCGTTCAGATGCTTTGGCATGCCGTGTATAGAAGTGATGAGACCACATCAGGAGATAATCTATTATATATTCACTCCTGGCCACATCACTGCTCAGAGTGTAAGGCAATAGACGCATCTAGCATTTAAGGGTTTCCATTGTCTTTCGTGATCATGCTAACAGGGGTTAGGCCTGACGTGTAGTCCTTAAGGCCACAGAACACTAGTGCAACATAGCAAAGCAATCGGACTCGCGAGCAATATTGCCCTAGTGTGCGGTGGCCTTTACCACATACAAATACAATAACGCGAAAGGCAAGAAATATATCGGTTGGTCAACATCAAGATACGATCGCTGGAGGGCATACGGACATTTGAAGGTTGGTATGTAATAAATATATAATAGAATAACACGTATTTACTGAAACATCGTGAACAAATCAATTGCTACTAGATATGTTGTTGTTAAAAAAGGAAATACGTGGAGCATTACATAAATGTGCTAACAATGCCACATAGTGATATAAGAGCAAAGGTCCTTAGTTTCCACAATGCCAAGAAATGCGCAAATATAGAATTCTCACACTAACATAAACATAGATTTAGATCAAGTAGACGACTAATTATAAATCAGTATCTTGCACAGGTTTAGGGGGCGGGTGACAATCCAATCAGCCATAGTACTACTTCCCAAGGGCGTATAAACGTAGTTATATGTGATCGCTAGAATACTGTAAAATCACCGCAGTGCACACGTAAATGTGTGCACGTATAAATATATCTGTAACATTGACCTTGTTAGGAAATGATAGTGAGTACGGACGCCTGGCTGAGAGCCAATGTGCGTCTGATAACAAATCTTTCATGTTGAAAGTAAACGGGTTCATGCTAATACTGCAGCGAAACGGGGGCAACTATGTAAATGAGCTAGCAGCTATTGATCATGGAGCTATCAGGGGCGTAGCCAGGATTTGCAAAGTTGTAGGCACGACTATCTGAGCGGAGCGCTACCATCGGTTGGCGCGGAGCATACAAGAAAATTTTTGGTTTTACAAACCCCCCAGATGGCCGGAAACGGCCCTTCCCGAGTGTTCATTCTGGTTCCCTGACCTCTTGCTAACTTGAGACACCTAATTCAATATCACTTTTAAACCCAAAAAACACAAACGAGTTAAAATAGTGTTACGAACGAGTTAAAATGTTAAAAAACTGACAAGAATGGATCCTAGTCTTTTTCGGCGGGGAGAGGGTTGAATGAAACGGCACGCGATAGAAATGACAGCCTAGATGACAGAAGAATAGGTCACCTAATTTAGCCATATTCTTGCTACGTTCATTTCAATAGTTTTTCCTGTCTAGACTCTTAAACTCGTCCAGCAAGCTTATGGATTTGAATTATGGGTGTTTAAAAAAAAAAGATAACTTGGCCAAAAAAAGTGTAGGCCCGGGCCTACAGTGCTACATACTGGCTACGCCCCTGGCTATACAGCTACTTTTGCCTAAATAATAATCAAGAGCTAATAATACCTATTATAGGTATCATTCACTCCTGCTAATATCAACCGCATAATGTTTATGGCAGAGCGTTTTCCGGTACGAGCTGATAATGAAGCGAATCAAATAACTGTTTAATATTTCACCATTGGCATCCACGTTTGGACTTGATCTGTACTTCGAATACGAACAATTCATGTTCCTTTTCCTTGAATGAGATATTGCGAACAGCCTACCAACGGTATGATGTGAATTTCATTGCATAGTCCTTTTTTCTCAAAACGAAAGTGAAGACTAAAACAATTTTAACATGTATTCACATAGCCACACTTGTCATACAAAACACACTCCTGAAACATTATTAGAAATAACGCTTGCACATAATAATACTGTTTCCGTTTATAGTGCAAAAAAATAACCACTAGAACCACAAGTATACAGACATTCAGTAATCAACGGTGAATAATATTATATCTATGAATACACTGTATGCTACACAAAACCTACGATATAGAAACGCAAAATCTTTGCATTATGGGGGACGCGTAATATTTTGTCTGTTTATAAAAAAACATTACCGACACACAGATCATATTCTTATATAAGGCTCTCATAATAGATTCACTCATAATTTCACTTTATTGCTGCAAATAAATAAACCACGGAGTGTTTGCTATTAGTGTAACGGTGTAATAATCACGAGGATAATTAGGGCATACAATTATGTAAATGGAAGGCTGATGAGGTCCAGGAAGAAAGGCGGAGGAAAGAAGAGGGGCGGAGAAGGAAGAGGGAGAGGAGAAGGAAGAGGATAAGACGAAGGGGAAGCCATACACGTAAAAGCACTTAATGAGAAGAGGTAAATATATACGTGTGCGTACGTGCGTGCGTGAGAGAGAGATGGGGTGTGACGAGGAGAAGCATGCAGACATCATGTACGAAAAAAGCTACGATGGTCATAACAAAGAGATGAACACATATGTTCACGTGTAATAAAGGCAAGCGAGATATATACATTGCTAATAGCACCATTACATTGATGCAGAAGATGTCTTGTCAGGAAGAACAGTCTTCATCGAAAGGTCCTTGATTGCCTGCTGTATACGCTTGATATGTCCAACCTTGTGCACACCTAGATCCTGAGAATGCGACAGTGAACATGTTGCCATGAATACAGTAACCGGAGAACAACAAGACCAGTGGTTCTTGACCTTTTTTGAGTCATGGACCCCTTTGAGAATCTGGTGAAAGCTACGGACCCGCTCAAGAAAAATGCACATAAGTACATAAACACAAAGTTTTTATGCGCCTGGTTCACGGACCCTCTGAAGACCTTCCACAGACCCTAAAGGGGTCCATGGACTACAGGTTAAGAACCCTTGAACTAGACCGACTTCGTTCACGGAAGCGTGATGACGCATTGGGTTTGTCTATATTCAGGCCGGTACAGGAGATAATTTGCATATTTTATCACGTGGTTTGTGTTATAACCAATCAGATGTAATCAGTAATTAGTAAAAGTATTGTATAAGAATCATACGTAATTTTTGTGTGCGTAGCCGTCAGGCTAGCAAGGCACGCCGTAAATGTGAAACAACATGTTTACACCGCGTTGGTGCACTCGTGAATATTAAGTAAGCAGACTATACTAGCCTATGTGTGAAAGCCTGAATATAGCCTTGTCGATTTGGTATGATTGACGTACTTAGCTGCCAACCGGACCTTTTTGGCGGACAAGCCAGTTTAGATTAAGCGTGAAAACGGACGTCGCGAGATTTATGTGGCCCCCCAAAGTGACGTCATCCTAGGGGCGCCACTGGCTACGATGCCTCTAAAAACTCTGTGCGCCTACACCAGAGGTCAGCACTCTGCAGTATTGCGCCTAAAACTTCATACGTGTACACTTTAATTTCTACACAAGAGGTCATTACTTAACTACAAGAGCGCGCGCGCACACCAGCGAGATTGGGAGAGGAGCAGATAGGGTGGGAGAGAGTCGGAGAGATACACATAATAAGACAGAGAGGAGAGAGACAGGGAGACGAAGAGAGCGAGGGGGGAGGAAGAAATGAAGAGAGATAAAAAGAGAGAAAAAATATACAAGCGTGAAACAAAGAGAAGAGAAGGAGAGAGAGGTGGTGAAAACGAAAAGAGAGGGAGAGGAGAGAAAGCGAGGGTAAGAATGAGCATTCAAGAAACAGAGAGAGAGAGCGAGAGAGAGAGAGAGAGAGAGAGAGAGAGAGAGAGAGAGAGAGAGAGAACGTGAAAGAGCGATAAAGAGATGTAGACAGTTATAAGAATGCACACATAAGAATAAACATGCGCGCACGCATGCACACACAGAAAGGCGAAGGAGAGGAAGACAGAGAGGAGAAAGAGGAAGGCAGAGAAGAGAGAGGGGACGGCAGAGAGGAGAGAGAGGAAAGTAGAGAGGAGAGAGCGAAGGAGAAAGAGCGAGAGAGAGAGAGCGCGAGAGAAGCACGGACGCGAACAAGTTTGGTTTTAAAAACTTAAATCTAGCCTAATTCTTTATTGAACTGTATGTTATTGTGTAACAGATAAAGCGAGAATTTATTATCTCCTTAGCCTGCCAGTATGTTCCACATATAAAGCGCGCATATATAAATGAATCACTTGGACTTTCGTCCCGCCATGACGGGCTTCTCTCTCTCGCGAGATATATCACGGTCAGTATACACGTAGCCCGAAGCGTCCCCGCCATGTTCTCTGTGATTTTGTCGTGAAAGATTAAAGCTGTGACCACTTCGAATGCGCATCATAATTACAGCTAACGTGAGTAAATAAATATACAGGAATTCTTGCTCAACTGAAGCTTCCGTAGCTGTTATAATTTCATACTTAATTCATGTCGTTTACTCGTTTAATTACAGCATGTAAATGTATTAATCAGGATAACACACACATACCTGAATGAGTTCAATTGTAAGTACCCTTTTCATGCGTTATAGTTGCATAAAGATGCGTGGTTATAGTATTAAATACTTGGCGAAAGGGTATAAATAACGGTAAAGTCTATAATATCAGTCAGTCTCTCTTGAGTCATTCTCCGCTTTCCTTGTCTAAGGTCACAATAAACACAATAAATGGATATATACGCGTCAAAGTAATTTTCAGGGTCAATCGCCAGACTGGAGGAATTATATATATAGTACTATATGTGCCGTAATAATTTTTGGATCGTCCTCAGTGAGTTTTGAAAGCAGTCTAAATGGATAGAAAAAGAATTGAGTAAATCATTTTACTAGTATGCAAACAAGTTCCAAACGAGACACAAAGCGTCTTTAAACAAACTATAAACGGTATTGTCCTTATCTTCACGTCTGAAACGAACATGTATAGTCCAAACAGATAACATGGAGTATAAAAAACCATCATACTGTAGTAGGAAAAGATGTGTGTGCGTGAATGCGCGCGCGAGACTGTATTTTATATAAAGTTACGTGCCAAATTTAGGGTTGTTATTATTGTTATATTATTTACCTGATATACCAATGAAACACTGAGAATACGATCAGACAATAAGACACACGGCAGACGATCCATAAACAAACCTTTAGGTCTCTTCTTTGCAGCGTTAACAATTCTGGTCCACAGACATCATTTCCTATAAATGCTTCCCTATAGTCGCCCAGACCTAGCGTATCTAACCATGAAGCTACAGCCGACGTATCCCAGTTGGCTACGGAGGAACCTGAGAAAAACACATTCTATAAACATCCCTAAGCGTGTGATAGCGTTAATGCGCAGCTAACAAATGAAAGAAATCGGTCAGGCGCTTACAGAAATGCACGTTAAGTGGTAAAAGTGGAAATGCGTGGCTTAGAGACGCCCCTAGCTAGCATGCTAGCTATGTGTGTGGGTGCGAGGGGAGAAGGAGTTGAAAAAACCCGTGATTTTTTGAGTGGCCTATCGAAGAAGCTGGCACAGTCGAGAATGTATCGTTGAAGTTAGTATGCTCGGTGCTCGCCCAGGCGTCTTGAGCATAAAAATGGAGTGCACCTCTCAATTAATTAGCAGTTTCACATGCCACTATCTTGGCAGAGGGCCCTCAGATTCCACTCACTTTAACCACTGTTTGGCACACAGCTTTAGCTGACAAAGGTGAGATTTGTACTACAATAACAAGCGAGCTAGATTTCAGCCGAAGTGCGTAAAAAGTGACAGCATAAAAATCACATACTATAGTGAATTATATAGCAGAAGTCAATGGACTGAGACAAAACACATGCATGGTCAGGCGTACATATTGTGTAGTTTTTTTTATATCAACATAAAGCAAGCCTCACAACATGTACACACAGACGTGCATATATTCATCATGTTATTGCTATGCAAGCTATGTAATGTAGAACGCATTTCTTTGTAATCAGCAGCAGCAGCAACTTGCATTGATCTAGTCGACTTCACAGCAGACATATTGCCGTTCATTTCTTTACATTTTAATCTTAATACATCATGATCCCTATTAAGCCGCATAGATGCCATGTATTTTAAACAGCAGTCGATGCCATAATGTTTACTATATATATGGATATATAAGTTGAAGTAAGGCGATATCAACACAAGTACCTGATAACTTCTCTTTAGAACGGTGCCTTCCAAACTTCAACTTGAAAATTCCTCCTCCATGCTTTTTCTTCTTTATATCAACATGCTGTAAAACAGTTTAGAATGCAACACCGGCTGCAGTAATTGCATGCACATGCAGTGTGACACACAGAACACTCGGACTGTTGCTGCGACATGTCAACTTGCACATCTTCAAAGTAAAAAAATTCATGCAAACAACATATGCATAAAAAACCACAGAGGACTAAACAAAATATATGCTACGTCGAGCTACTTTGTAACAAAGAGAATGTTTTTTTTTTTACAGAACTGCACTCTTGTTATACTAACTATGGTCTAGAATTAATGCACTATTTTTGTAACATTAATTATGAAGACAAATGTATCAGAAATCTGTCTATAATATTTGTGGTTGCAATTTTTTAGTGCATGTGTTTTAGTGCAAAAACATACGTACGCTTCCACGCCACACACAGTATTAACATGTATTAACAATATTTATAATTATATATCATAATTATTTATAATTATAGAAGAGTTGGAAAGAGTTGTGGATTTACTGCCTATCGTTTATCCAATCGCTCTATCAAGATCCAAAATAAAGCTCCTTATAATACTTCTATGTACACACATTATATCGTCAAATTGATTTAATGCGCATATATCTGCATGTACCTCTTCTTCATGAAAATATGCAAGGCAGTCAGTTTCTACAACCTTCTTCAATTCCACTTCAATCCGGTCCAAGGCTGCACTGATACTCTCTACTAGTTGAGGTCTCAACTCCTGTATCACACAAAGTAAATGCGAACGATTATTACATAACGCTGTGGATATTCATGCAGAGCTAAAATCCCCTATAACTATTCAAATGTTTACAATGCCCGGTCACCTAGGTGATTAACGCAAACGATTGCTAAGAAACCACCAGTCACCATCTTCTTCTTCTTCTTCTTCGAATCCGGATTTGATTCAAGAATTGATCAAATGGAATTTATCAGCTGGAATTGATCAAATCAAGCGGTGCCAGTGTTCCATACAGTCGATTGCCACCGCCCCCTTGTAGACGTCAGCTTCTACCAGTTACCGTGTAAGCAATGCTGTGATAGCCAGAAGAAATCTCAATGGACGATCGACAGAAGCTTAACGCGAAGCCTTCTCAAGACTTACCAGTTCGCCGACTTTCTCCGTGAGAAAGTGGATGGAAGCTTCCTGAAGCCTCCGCACTGACTGCACGAGTTCGTATAGCTGCTTGCGCACGGGCAGCTGCAAACACAACGTAGAGACACCATGATGATAGAGGCAGGATAAGCAAACAGCACAATAGCACCCCTGCCTCTCAGATCCTTCGACTCAATCTATAAACGCACGCACGCACGCACGCACGCACGCACGCACGCACATACGCATGTACGCACGCACGCACACACGCACGCGTGTTCGCATACACACAAGACACATGCACGCACATATACTGCCAAAGATGAAGATTTGCCACCACGCAGTCTGGCATCCCCACAGTGCCTTTAAAGCAGATTTACTTTCACGGACGACTAGGAATTACTCATAATTCCACTGTTGGTTATTATTAACGATTGCGAACGAAACACCGTTCTTTCACAGATTATAACGGACAGACTAATAAATTGAGTGCGTAGACAAAAAAGCCAACTAATAACAAAAGTTATACAATAGCCTACGATGCTAAAATCCATGCAGTGTGAATCCAGAGTTCACGTATGATGTCAATGTGCACTATTTATAATAACACACTGACATAAAAAGATCCTTAGTTGATTAATGCATAATAAAACACTAGCATCTAAAAACAAAAAATATAAAATATATAATGACTCTAAAACAAAGTACCAGTTTCCTATTTGTTTGAAAAGAAAAACGGTGCATGGCAAAATATAGCATGTTACTACCATAAAACGAGGAAAAATCCAAAGTACTTTTTTTCTAAAAACAAAACACCATGCAACCTATAAACCATGCAACCACTGTATAAACAATATAAATGTATAGAGTCCCAGAATAGTGATAGCTATAGTGTGGTTTATTAATGTCTACTGCACTCATATGCAGGACCCTCGCGTTCTAACTGCTTTCCTACTTATTAAGAATTATATGAAATTTAGTAGTACTGAATGCAAAAAAAATTGTTTTGAAAAAATTTGAATTTAAATTTGAATTGAAACTATTGAAATCGGCGCCGGGACTCTATACATCTTAAACATAATTCAAAATATAAATTTATTCCCGTTAAACATGTTATATTTGTTGGTGTAAAAATATATAAACCCAAGCATAATTTACAACTGTACTTGCGTACGTACAGACATAGACAAATCCGCAAAGATATAGAAATAAAAGCGCTGAGCAAAAACCAGAAATATTTATAAAAATATCAACCTGAAACATTTCATACTGCTGGCCGCATGGTCCATACGAAGCTATCTAGATGAATATAGATAAAAAGCAAGTACAATTTAGAATTTTAATTACGTCGAAGAATAGGTATAACTGTAGAAATACTGTACGTTAACACGAGTTTATATTACGAATATCATTGAGATACAACATATACGTTTCTGGGAATTGCTACCAAAAACAAACAAAGATAGCTAGCTGTTAATATTAATATCAGTGAGGGTAGATATTGTTTATGGTACACACCAAGTGTGACTACTTGCTATGGGATATAGTGCCACCATTAGGTATTACCTAAAATGACGGCTGTTAGTTCAAGTGCATGTATGCAACGATTGGTACCAAATGCAAAGATTCCATTAAAATCATTAGCATGAGCAGACACACGCGTACTCTGTTACATTGACTCCATGAAAGGGTTTTCAAAACGACCAAGACACATGCCATTTCAAAAATAGTAATATAAAAATCCCAAGATTAAACCGTGAGCAAAACCTGAGCCATTAAACTGTTTGTCTCAAACAAATACGATGGAATTTATCTGTGCATTTTATGCAATGAAATTTATCGAAACTCCAACTTGTTCGTACGGTACCTTAAAATATTATAGTTATTTTAATTTTAATCGGTAAATAATTAAATAATCAATGTTTTATTAAACAAACAGCGCAAACCTAAGCACGTTAAAAGCCAAGTTATCTCTCACATATTGTGTACACAGGATTAATAATAAATAAATGTAACTTGGTATTATAAATGACTTTTTTTTTAAAGTGACGTAGTTTAACTCTACTCAGGAGTTTCATTTTTTCACACTGTAAACTTTGTCTGATAACTTAAAATTTATTGACTGATTGATTGATTGATTAAACTTTTAATAAGTCGTTCTCTTTTACGCTTACAAGACAAGTGCCGCAGAGCGACAGCGCTCAACTGACGTGTACTGTAGCCAGGTATTCTTCTGATAAACTCACTGGCAACCGAATCAAGTGCGCCCTCCTGCCACCGCGTTCCTGCTCAGAGCATATATCTTAGGTTACTATACTAATACAGAACTAAAATCTATGATAGGCTTTGCTATACCTACTGGTAAAACAGTAATAAAGATACAGCTGTGTAACTTTAATGACTTCGCTATATTAACATGTTATCATGGATATGCGTAGGGGGGGGAGATAGATAGACACGCAGAGGGAGCTAGAGCTAGAGATAGAGATGGATAGAAAGAGAGAAAAGTTATTTCCAGTGTCAATCGCCAGACTGGAGGACACGGCGAATTATGGCGTCTTCGGGGTAGCGTCGAACAACGATTGAGTGGTTACCGGTCTCCAGTTGAACATACCAAGAGGTGCACAGAGATATACATAGGTGTTATTATATGATATGCTAGCCGGGTACCAGGCGTTGCTCGGGAAAAAACGCGTAGAACCAACTTTTAGAGCATATTCAGCCACATATAATTTTATTTACTTGATTCTAAGGATAGATTCGTAACAGAGCAGAAACAAACAATAAACAATATTCAGACAAAAACGGTTCTAACGATTCTATGATTCTGTCTGGTAAAAGCTTCTGGATATACAGCACTGTTATGAAATTTCGCCAAGTTATCATGAATACTGCGTATTAAATATTGAGCATCCAATTGGTATCTGATGAATACCTGGACAGGTTTACATATATTAACAGTGTACATGCAGTTAACAGTGCTTCACCAGCCCTCTCAAATGTACAACTGACTCGCTGGCAATCGAGAAACACCAGCTAACGCCTAAGATCAAAGGCGAAGCCGAAACCTACCGGCATTTCTGGTGCTGCCAGTGCCAGTGCTAGTGCCAGTGCTGGCACTGCCAGTGCACGTACACGCGCGCTATCGCAGAACATGCAACATGAAATGCACAATCCCAACATATATTGCGCATTACGACAACAACCGCCGTTGTTTTATAACATACTTTTAATATTTTACTTGCTTTGAGATTATTAGTTTGTAGTGTATACTTTCAAATATGCTCAGGCCACCCTCAGCGTGATAAATTAACAGCGTGGCAAGCTTGGTGGTCCGAAATCAATAAATGGCGGAATGCATAGATAAAGTTCGTTTTTTAGTAGTATTGATATCTAAACTCGTATATAACATTTGTAATATATATAATTATTGCGCATTATACAAAAACAGTATTGCTTTAACCTGTCAGCCTGATTAGTTCTCCACTTTTTGTTTTCCAACTTCATATAAACCAGATATTAAATTCGTGTTCGTCAAATTTCTAGTGCCAATCACGTCGCTGAAGGACACGGGGAATCAACATGTTTTCGAGGCAACGTCGTGCACCGCTCGCCAGTTAAGCATACTAAATTGTTATTTTTAACGTAGGTATTATTTTTTATATTATAGCACCCATATGTTATGAATCTACGTTATGAATCTGCTGGTGTTTTCTAGCATTACCGATATGTTTCTGGTACTAGATTGTGTGACATAGTGTATATGTGGTATATATTTAACGTACGCTGACTATTGGGAGAGGTTATATGGATTATTGTGGGGACTATAGTGAGAAGGAAATGAAGCGCTAATTAATTTGGACTAAGATATTTGCAGAATGTATTTACAAACGAAATTTTAGAACCATTTAGTTCGTAACTCGGCCCTCCCTTTGTAGAGTATCTGACCGACTACTTGTATAAGGTGATCATATTAGAGAAGATGGGAGAGGGAAGAGAAAGGAGGAAAGAGCGAGAGGCAGAGTGCGAGGGCGAGCGAGAGAGAGGGGAAAGATAGATAGACATGCAGAGCGAGAGAAAGATAGAGAAGAGAGAGAGAAAGAGAGAGAGAGAGAGAGAGAGAGAGAGAGCGCGCAAGAAAAGGCGATAGTTAGATACATGGATAGATGGATAGATAGATTGAGAGAGAGAGAAAGATATATGGAGACAGAGAGGGTGGGTGAGAGGGGGAGGGCGAGAGAGGGCGAGAGCTAGCGAGTGAGAAAGCGCGCGCGACAGAGAGCGATAGAGAGAGAGTGAGAGAGAGATCAGGAGAGAGCGCGAGAGACTGAGAGCGCGAGAGCGAGAGAGCCAGGCAAGAGAGAGAGAGAGAGAGAGAGAGAGAGAGACAGAGAGAGAAAGCGAGATGGGGGATAGATAAAACTGCACAAACATTATTGTCAGTCGCAACTGATCCGTCATCCGCGTTTCGTTGTCGAATTTCATATTAATTTTATGGAATTATATCTATACTCATCAAATCTTTTTCTAGTGCCAATCGCCGCGCCGTAACCGGAAACGTACAGCTAGAGGACACGGAGCAGCGAGTGATTCAGTGGTTACCGGTCTCCAGTTACACATTCCACGAAGTGCGCAGAGCTTTAATTTTTATTATTTACATATTATTAGAGGATATATTGGTTAACTTAAAGCATGAACGCGTAATTAAAAGCTTTGAGTAAAACCACCAATTTATATCAATTGTAAATGAAACTTGTAAAAATAGAGGTTGTAAAACGCATTAGGCCTTATGGTGAAAACAATTTATCGGTCAGCCTTTTATAAACGAATGTGGTTACAATTTTCATATATAAATAGTATATTTGATGTCGTGAATATTCCTCTCATTCACTGGTAAGTCATGTTTCTGAACTGTGCTCTCACACGTCCCCGTGATTTTTCGTGTACGATTTGTACGCCTGCGGGCCACTGTCAGAACCTATGCAAAAGCATTTACTTCAGATGTTCCTGGGAACGGTCCCCTGATTATTAACTCACGTTTTTATATTTATTAGTACATATATTACAATTACGTATATTGAAGTCCACACGCGTGTGTGTTATCACATGCTTTCACGATTGAAATACTTTTTAATAAATAAACTGTGACTAAAACTTTCGAGGTACTTTTTATATGATGGCGACTATTTAAACGATGTCCACAATAATTTGTAAAGAAAGCTCTACATATTTCAGTAAAGAGTAAAGTGGTAGGATAGTACAGTGCAGTGAATCATTGGTTGCAGTGGTGGGAATCTCCGCATGTGGAGTAGAATAAACTAGAGCAGTAAAGCAGTACAGTAGAGTACAGTGCAGTAGAGCAGTACTAGTGCAGTAGAGCAGTATAGTAGAGTAGAGCAGTACTAGTGCAGTAGAGCAGTATAGTAGAGTAGAGTACCGAGTATTAGAGCAGTAGAGCAGTATAGCAGAGTAGAGTACAGTGCAGTAGAGCAGAGCAGAATGCAGTTGTAGGAGTTGTTGTTGTTGTTGTTGCGTGAACCTTGACGGTGACATTGTCCTTGACCGTGGCCTCGACCAATTTTCCCATTTCTAAAATTTTCCGTGGCCTTGAGGTCAAGGCCATGGCCTTGGGCTCAAGGCCATTACATTTTCCAATTTTAAAATTTCGAAATAACTAGAACAAGGCCATAGCCTTGAGCTCAAGGCCATATCCTTGAGCCTTTTTTAAAATGTTAACTCAACTTGTCATGGTCAACTTGTGTTTATATTTCCCCTAACAACATCTCGAAAATATCTTACCGTAGTACTTGACAAGATTTGAACCCGGGATTATTCAGTACCAGCCCAGCACGATACGATAGCACCCAAACACACCATTCCTTATATGTTCAGAACAAATCTATGTGTTACATTTTATTCAACAAGAGTTTGAAAATATTTTACGAAGTTACCTTACAAGAATTGAACTCGGGACAACCCGGTCCCAATCCAACATGTTACGCACACGCCTAAACTTGCAATTTCTGAAAGGTTCAGATCTGATGTGTGTGTTACGCTTTCGTCAGAAAGAAAACGTCGTTTCGTCGTTTTACAGCAAGGAAAGTCAACAAAGAAGTCATTGCCGTGCATAGATTTTAATGCGAAAATTTTCATTTATGAACGGTAATACGGTATAGAAATACTTGTACAGTTCTACATGTCCTCAGAAAATGTCTGAGATCTGACCTTTCCCCCACTGCCCTTTGACCTGTAACCTCCAATTTCGCGCTGGTGATGAGTTTCCTCCCCATCACACTATACATCGAATATTAAGAGCGTAGGTCAAGCCGTTGAGATTTGTGCCGCAATTCCGTATTTCCTCCTATACCTTAAGTTAAGGGGGAAACATTCCCCCTCCATTGACACATCTTGACCTTTGATCCGTTGATCCCCCCCCCCCCCCGACGTCCCGAATATCAAGACCGTACGTCGAGCGGTTAAGATTTGTGCCCAACTGTTAACGGACGTACGGACGGACATTCATGCGATTCTACAAGCTGCATCTGACTCCGTCAGCTGAGCTAAAGACAGTGACTAATTATAATCGATTGCAAGGGAATAGTAGACTCAAAAAAGCTCACCAAGTAATATGTCTGTGCAGCTGTGCACACAGACATATACAACATACGGTTCTGCTACCAGTAAAAAGCAAATAGTTCAAGAAAATGATTACATGGCATATGTCGCATGCTCTTATCACTCTTACCATCATCATGATCGCACGGATAAACTTACAGATAAAAATATTTGCTTACCCCTTCAGCAAGACGCCCACCAGGAAACAGCTTGCTGACGTTGTTGGCAGCTTCTGTGGCAGAATGCAGTAGGTACCTCTCCACATGACTACTGCTGATGCAGGCCACTTTCACACTAACAACATAAAATGCATCATAAAAGATTGACATGCATTGTCATTGATTGATGTTCATTGCGATGGATGGTCTTACAATTAAAGGCAATGCGTGTGCATTCACACATGCAACATAAAGTGGAAACTCATGCACTCGCACATCCAATGCACGGCTCCACTCCGGCTCACGCACAGTGATACGAACGCATGCAAGCACACACACTTGCCTATTTGCAACTATTATTCGACGATATCCGTCTGACCACTGCTATCATTACATCAATTACAATAATTTAAATATAAATAACTATGTGAAGATGTAGGAACTACTCAGAGGAATTATAATTCAACGATTATTTACGACGTATCGCTATCTCTTACCTACGAATAAGCATGGTCGCCACCTCCACAAACTCTGCAGACAATGTTACTTCTTCTTCTGTAATAGTCGGTACAACTTCTTTAGGTCGGGGAACCACATGTTTGTCCTTCCACTCTCTCAGGCTCATCTCAAACTCCTGCAAGAAAAAGGAATCAAGGAAATATTTAGCAGATGAAATAAGAAAAACAGAATGATAACTTACTCACAATTCACTTTTGACCAAATTAAATGCAAAGAATTTTAATGTCAAAAAACGCATGAAATGATTTTGGGGGCTCTGGCATTTTCTCCTTGATGTGTTTCTAATTATACGAGACCAATCAACCAATTACGTAGTGCAAATTGTCTATACTCCTTACACAGCAAATCAAGTTAGTACATCAAAGGTTTAATTTATTTGTGCGCAAATGAAATTTACTACCTAGCAACAACATCATCAAAAGAGCACAGAGTATATTTAATCAAGAGCATAATAATATAGACATATATATATATCTCTTACATAAAGGGCGAGCCTAGCTGTTTTTGTGTCTGTCCTTCTGTCTATCTTCTCCCCCCCCCCCGTAAGAGCTCACCCCCAACACCATATATATTCTTAATCAGCATGTCGCGACGACCAAAGGCAAGATCAAAAAAAAAAAATACACAA